GGTTATAGAATTGCATATATATCAAGGTGAGATGAATTGCGAATTGCTTAACAAACATCATCTTGAAAACTTTGGAAATGTTTTCTTGGTTCCTTAAACTAGTGTGAACTTTATGCCTCAGAAAATGAGAATTACATGATAAATTTAATGCCGAGTAAGTCAGGAAATCGTGTATTTTATAATTTATACAAGAACATTTGCAGTACAGGGTACATTAAAATTTGTAATAAATTAATTAATATATCAACACTTCTAGTGGTGTCCTGGTGGCTCCTTAAAGCTATATTGTTGAGATAGCTTCCCATTACTCAGTCACATCGGTCATAAACATTCTGTTAGCCTACCGGGGACCAGACCCAGAACCTGGCCTCCCTCACAGAGGCAGAGAGAACAAGGGTTGTTGCAATCACCCTCCCCTGGGAAACAACCAGAAAGTAGATAAGACAATACAGACATTTTCATGGTTCATGAAAATGAAGTACTGTACCAAAATATCCAACAGACACCACAAAAGAATCATTCAAAATGAAATTGTTCTCTTGAAACTGAACAAAAATCTCCTAGTGCATAGAGCGACCAACAGGTGGCATCCTGGACTCAAGATAGTGTCCATTCAGTCCTGTCTCGGATGTGGCCTTAGCTGGTCTTCCCAGTCGCCTGTCATAGCGACCTCGACCTTACAGTAGCATTGCTCGTTTCCATTTTCTCTACTTTACAGATGTTCCTTTGGTTACTTTTGTGTTTTTGTGTGTCTCCACACTCTGATGCTTGCAGATTCCCATTCCACTAGTGTCATTCTTGGCCTGCTATGGCTTTGCCCATGCGTGCGGGGGAGGTGGGGGGTGTTCATGGGTTCCGTACCTACTAGACTCTTTTTTTCCTGGCCCAGATGTAATGCCACCTGTACTTGCCAAGGCTTGCTAGGCTTAGCACCTCCCATTCCTGGGGGCGGGGAAGCTTCACCTGTGTGGTTGGACTTAAGTTCTTTGGCCTTGGCCTTTCCTCCTCACTGGGTTGGGGGTGATGCTGAGCAGTGAGACCCATGTCCCTAAGACTTGCCTCCTTTTCCAGTATGCTCAAGAATTAGGACAAGGCGGGAAGAAAGCCTAAAATTGCCAGACCTCATATCTGATCATAAAAAATAATAGTGGCATACTCAATGGGCAAAGCTCTTCCTCTCTTATTGTCAGCCACTTTGGGAGTGTTGGAGACTGTTCATACTTCAATTAATAGGGCTGTCAGTGGGTTACTATCCACTGTGACCCACTTTGTTAGAACCTGAGTTGGTTCTAGAATCACAACCAGAATCACAGCAAGGTAAGGGGTCCCACCTGTGTCTTTGTTGCATCAACAGTATAAAGTGTTTGGGCTGTCTTTTCGCCTTTTTTTTTTCTCTCGTCGACATTTGGCATTGATACTTCGTTGATGCTATTTGACAAGTTATCTCAGATTGTGTTTCACCTCTGGCCAGCTCTAGTTGCCTCCGAGTCATTTTGGTCTCTTAATCGGTTATCCCCAGTTGTCCCATTGGTCTCTATATATTTCTTAAGGCATTGTTTTTGCCGACTCTTCCCTGCCATTGTTTGGATGGGGAGTCACAGGATATGTTCTTTCAGCCCTTGTGGAAGGTTCTTTGGTAGCAGCCGTCTCATTTTCTGGCAGAGGAGATGGTTGGCTTCCAGAGGAGTCCCTGAGTGTTTGATGCTTGATTTGTGTGTTGGGATGTACCTTCTGGTGTGGCCGGTTAATGCAGTTTGTCCCTATCGGTGAGCCAACCATTCTCCTTCAGTGGATGCACTGCTTGTCAATCTGGTTTCCTTGGACCTCCGTTCCATAGTGCATTGTCTCGGATTGTCCTCAGTGTCATTAACGCTAGCCAGCCTTTGGTCTGCCCTCGGGCCTATGTTCGTAATTTTGTGACTTTGTTGACTTCACTTTTATATAAAAGGGGTGACGCCGAGGAAAATAAAACTCGCGTCCCTACCAAAACAAGAGACTGTTTCAAATATTAATGGGACTCCCGGTTTGCCTCCTGCCTTCTCATTCGGGGGGCAGTGGTGGGCGTCGTTCCCCAGAGCAGGCCAAAGCGCATCGTTGAGCCTGCCAAAGAGCAGAATATGAAGACTCAACAGCTACTCCCCCGATGGATGTTATTCCGACCCTTGCGCAGGAGTCTATTATGTCTCTGGCTGATTTTCAGATCGGGTTAATATTTTTGGTCCCAGTCAAACTTGTGTTACCCTGGGACAGGTTTTCTGGCCCAACATCTCATCTAAGACTTTGTAGCTGCCAAATCTCCTCCTCCTCCGTGGAAAGTTCCTGTTTTCCTTCTCTGTGGTTAGCTTCAGGGATCCACAAGAGGCTTACCCCAGAAAACCAGTGTTAAATGCAATGAAACACTTCTTTCTGGATGAGCCTCAGTGGGTCCCTGGCTCCCCCTCTCCCAACCAGGTACAGTATATACATCAGTTCTTAGTCCATCAGCTCCAGACTGAGCGGGTGCTGGCTTGAAGCCAAGATGCCACCTGTTGGTGGTTCTGTGCACTTTGGGATGTTTCATACAAAGATTCAAGTGAACCATTTTATTTTAAGTGATTTTTTAGAGTGTTGGCTGTTTGTGATTAATTTTTATGACCCATGCAGCTGTATTGTCTTGCCTACTTTCTGTTTTTTCCTTGTGAGGGTGATCATTACAATCCCCTGCTCTCTCTGCCAGGTGGGGGGTGCCAGGTTCTGGCTCTGCTCTACCAAGACTTTCCCGAAAAGGGTGTTTCATTACATTCCAAGGTTTGTTTTTAGACATTACAATATTCCATGTTAAATACAGTGAGGAATGCAATGTCTTGTATCTTGTAATAAAGATATAGGATATTAAGAAAATATATTATCATTTCTTAACATTACCTTTTTTATACAGCATTTCTTAATGTTTAAGATTTTGACATGCATCACATTATATGTCGACTGTAATAATGTAACACCAAAAGTAAAGAATAGACACAGAAGAAAATATCAAACTTTGCTCACAGTGCCACATTTTAAAGACTTATGATCCAAATACAGTACAGTGTATAGTACTGTATATTGATAAAGTACAGCAATAATGTTTTCAATATTTGTACTGTAGTAGGGCTCCATAATCATTTAACAAAATTCAATCTATCTTAAAATACATAAAGCAAAATTATATAACATATTGTAATTCACATCATATGGCGTCAATATTTTTTCATGTATGTTAATTCATTTCATGATAAATGAAGTCGGTGCTCTATTTTCTCATGTCAGTGTCGGAGCTTTTTCGTTGGCAATATATTTTATGTATTGATCGCGAGACAGAGTATGTACAGTTATCTATCTAAAGTATTAATAGAAAGTACTTTTTGTGTGCATTCAGCGAGCACATTTTGTGATGACCATTCATGCTTTTATACTTTCTGCACTTCACTAACAACACACTATCCTTTTCTTAATTTCATGCACAGCTACCACGTCCGGATTCTGGAATTTGGACTATATACAAGTCCAGTGAGTAAAGAAATATTTCAGATAATAATGCAGTGGCTTTAAGGGAGTGCTTTCTTGGCAGTTACTTCCATCCTTATTTTGGGGGAATTAATAAAATATTATTAGTAAATATTTAAACATTTGCTTAGTTTGATATATTAAATTATTTCATCGGACAACAATTCAACATTAAAGCTTAAATCTCGGGTTTAATCCTCCTGGAGGAACATGGAAAAATGCCATAAATTGCTTCTGGCATATAATCTGGTCACCATTTCTAGATATTCCTACATGTCCAATAAAAGTAAAAGAAACTTATGGCATCTCTTACCTATCCATTCATGCTTACAAATTTGCATGCAATATCAAAAGCATGTCCAAACATTGTTTAATTATTTTAGATATACACGTACTTTAGTAGCTTATTCATGGACATAGATGCTCCATGTGCGGTGTGTGCATCACTTTACTTTTACAGGTCTATCATTTCTCAAAGGACTTTTTTTCGGACTGATTATTAATGTCTTAAAACTAATGACAGGTTAGATTTATGTTGTAAATTTAAATAAAAGTAGGTTTTATGTGCTGATAAATATTTAATAAAGTTCCTATGTACAGTAGTACACATGCTAATATTTTATGTAATCTGCAATATTAATATTAATAATATTAATTATTATATTAATATTAATAAAGGTATGAAAATAATTCCTTGCTTATAGTACCTGTATTTTGAATAATATGTTGTGTGTATGTGTGGAAGTGCATGTGTCAAAGTGGCACTCAATTTTGATGTAGGAAATGAGACTTTAATGATAGACATTATAATGAGCAAGCTTAACTCCTGTGGTAATTTGATCAAAGTTCAAGCATAGCTAAATTAACCAACATTTTTATGTACAGTTTTTATGTATTGTCAATTAGAATTTTTTTTAAATTGACTAAAGAAAAGGCTTCAAACAATAAAAACGATATTTGAAAGAAAATCTGAATAGTTCAAAGTAGCTAGAAATATTTTAGCCCCAACTCTTAAAATGACACCCCCTATGTACTGTATTTATGATGACCAGCAAATAAAAAGGACATACAGTATGCAGTATATCAAATTGTATTATAGATTGTTGATAACCCATGGAGTCACTAAAAATAATCCAAACATGATATTTAATATGAAGTGCTTGTATGTGGTGTGACATTCAACATTTTTGAAACCTTGAAATCTGTACAGCAATTACATTCAGTAAATTTTTATAATGTTTATAATGCTTTCAATTTGGAAATTGATAGCATGACAAGATTTTCTTGTGTAATACAGTATTACAGTAATTGTTCCAATAATATTTCATACCCATATAAATAGTTACTTACATGTAAGATCAGTTGTTTTAGACATAATATAAGCAAATTTTTTCTCAATTGGTAGAATTTTTCATTCATTTAGCTATAAATAAATACTGTAAACCAAAAATGAAGTGTTAAAACTTCACTTTCAGCTTGAAGAGTACCATGACTCTCCCGCGGGTGAGGATGACGATGATGACGGAGGTCTTACAGTCCAGGGTGGCAAGTTCCGTATGGAAGTGATTGACTAAGGATCAGTTGTGATAGTAATTGTTTTGAAAAATCTTGGATACAAACACATTTTGGGTTCAGCAAGATGTCAAGTGCAAGGCAGCCAGCACCGAGAAATTTTAGCATTAAATGTTTATAATGCTTTATATATATCTGCTACATATGGGAAATATCAGCATGCAAAGCTTGGCTAAGCTTAGTGCCAAATTAAGCTGATTAAGCAGCATATGTACAGTGTTAGGGATCTAGGTAAAAAGGATTTATCTACCGATGTATGTGTAAGTATAGACTACTTTATTCTGTGAATAACAAACACTGAAAAGTTTTAGATGCCACATTTTTCTCAGTTACTGTATAATGCAGAGTATTTTAAGTTTTTAAGGTAAAAAAGTGATTTTAATTTTATGTATATTTAAATTACTTATTTGCTTGTTTTTATGAATATTTAATCCAACTACATAATGAAGCATTTCTTGGTTTATATTGTGCAACAAATAATTTGAGAATTGCAAGCATAAGCAAATTTAAATTTGATAATCTTGAGTAATTTTTTAAATTCTGCTTCATTACTTCTGTTGAAACTTTAAATTATTTAGTACAATTTTCAATTCTTAGTAATTGTTATTTTATTATTCTTTTGCATTATGTTTTGCAGTTCATTCTTCATTAAACAAGTCATTCTTCCATCTACAGCAAATATTCTCAAAATTTATATTCTTATGCAGCACTCGGCAGTTAAATACAGTATCAATAACCCAAATCAGTTACTGGAAAGAATTTATTCAGACATTCAAAATTATTTGTATTAGTATTTTGCATGTATGTGTCAGTTAAGTAAATTAACAAAGCATAAAAGTTTGATACATTAATTAGGAAAAAAACAAGGATTGTAATATTGTAGACCTCATTATTAAAATTTGATCAAGACTTTGCATGGCAATTAATTCATCATTCTTTCACTGATTTTACAGTAGAAGTAATATATTAAACTGCAGTATAAAAATTGCTTCATTATTTCCTCAAATCTTATATTTAATGCTTTTATGATGTTTAGTAGATAAATATAAGCTTAATGCTTTGCAAAACATTTGAAGTTGTATCGGTAGGCCTCATCATAATATTTTCCAATTTCTGAAATTCTACTTGGTATGGTTAATAGAGTATGAGTTTTGAAAAAGAAAAAAAAAAGATTACTTGTTTATAGGTATGAAAAAGTAGGCTAAGTATGTTTTGCAAGTTGCATATAGTAAGCTGCATTAATGATATTCACTTCACGAAGTTCACCAATAAAATGACAGTTTATATCGACACATACTCCGGCAGTGTAACTTTTTACTGGATCTCATTTTTGTTTGTATATACCAGTAGAATTCAGTACCATCTATCAGGAGCCTTGTTCTATTAATTATGTCATCACATTTAGCTTTACCAGCATTTAATTTAATGACTTCCTTCACTGTAAATCATGAATTGTTTTTGTACATGAATAATTCATTGTATCTGACCATCATATTCCCATTGTCCATCATCAAGATTAACTAGTACAGTTATGTCAGTTATATTAAGAAAATTATTAGAAACGTCTGACACTATGGTAATATACTAAATCACATTTTAGTCAATGTATTCAAAAATAATTTAATGTAAACTATCTCTTGTCAGTTGTAAGTTAACTTCCATGGAGGCCTCAGACCCGAACTGTTGTCATTGTGACCGATGGCAATTTGTGCCTTTTGATGAATCTACAGTAAGCTGATTGGCATGTGAATCTCATTATTACATCTGAGTGGATAAATATTTACGTGCCATTTCAGCTGTGACCAGACATGGTAAGCAAATCGTGTGTTTGTGGTTACAATGACCTGTTTAATATCATAGTACCACAGTATGTTTGCCTTTATATTCATCAGTATTTTCTTCTAAAGTATAAAATCTGTTACTAATGCCTCACTCTACCTATATATTGATGTAGTTCTACATCTTACATTTGTCACATCTACTTATATTGAGAATAAGACAGTGGTGTATGCTTTGCACATATTTTCTCAACCAACTTTACGCTTTCAAATACAGTACTGTATTATAGATTCCAATACTGGAAAACTTAATTTGTAATTTTTGCATGCATCTATTGCTAGAACGAATTGTCTTTTGCTAATAAGAATGTTGGAAAAGATTAAAATTGCCTCCAACAAGGTTGAGTAATGAGGAAGATGGCAACTAGAGTACAGAGACTGCAAACAATAATCTTTCATAGTCTAAATTATTATGGTTTAATTTTAACAATAAAAACATACTGATGTGATTGTAGCCAAAGAAGTGAACAATCAATGATAAATAATATTTACATTTATTTAATTATAAATTTAAACAGTGTACTGTACTTTCAAATCATATATTTGTTGTGGGTCAGGGCTGTTTAGAGAGATTCATCAATAGTATTTCCCTAAAAGAAGCTTCTTGGCATAATATATTTAAATTATAGCATAATTTTATATTTAAAAAACTGAACATGCAAGCTTTCCCCTAGTGTTCTGTGATGAGAGAAAATATATTTTTTCTATAGAAATAAGGAAGAAATATATTTGCAGATTATATTTAAACCATTTCCTTCTCGCATAAGCAGTAGAGAGTCATCAAAGGCACAATGTCATTGGTAGGAGTGTAGGATATGTACATAAAATATTGTACATTAGATGTGTAAATAATCATGTCATTTGATCATTCTTCATGTAAAGGCAAAATTTTTAAAGAATGTAATAACCTTTTTACATGACTTTAATTAAAAACTGAACAATAAATTAAGTTGTCTGAATTCAGTAGTCTGAATTTAATTGTAATTAAATGTATAAATTATTAAATATTTTTTGCCTTTTAATGTCATATAGCAATGAACAGTATCACTAGCAGTCAAGTCTTTTTAGATAGAGTATACAGTATAAAGGAAACTTATTTTTGTGTTTGTCAAAACATTGTCATGTATATATTACATACTGTAGTAGTAATATCAGCTCTCTGATCTGCTAAGTTTAAGATGTCGTTTAAGTGTTTGTAATGTAAATCTTTAAAACTAGTAGAAGAAATTTTTCTTTTTATCTAACATCATGAGATATGATGTCCCAGCTACTTGCAGTGTGACTTGTTGAGCTCAGTGTTATGTCGTAACTCATATTATAGATTTATTGTGAACCGATCATAAAGAATATTTTCTTAGCAGAATCTCAAAAGTTACTTGCAAATTTCCTCTCTGATGTGCAACTCATGATATTTAGCAATGTGCAATATGAGATAACTTGTTATATGCATTATTTTATCTTATTTCATTAAAAATAATTTCCTTTGGTATTATTATAATTGTTTTCCTATTTTCCCATATGTTGGTGATTACAACATTAAATGTAAATAATATTTTAAGCTAATAACAGTTATTAGACTAAACAGTTTTTTTGTCAACTCAGTATTGTTGAATGTTTATTTCTAGTGGTTGTTAATAGAGACAGTTGTTATATACAGATGATATCTGGCTTTTTCTTTTCATTTTATGTACTGAACAAAAAAATTCCATACATTGTTAAAGTTTGCTTTTATGCAGGTCACATTCTGATATGTCAAGTTCCAAATATTCCTAATATAATGTTGACATCAAGCCATGTTCATTAACAGTGATTGGGATCATTCACTGATGCAGTGGAATTTTTTATAATTAACAAAATTTCATTATTTAGATTTTTTGATCGTCACATCATAACTAAAGAATTATACATACACAGAGTCGCCAATAATGATCTGTGTAATAGATATATCAATATGGGCCCTTCTAGAGAAGCTAATTTAAACTACTGTCTTCATGTTCTGTAATAGTAAAATATATACAGCAATGTAATATGATTTAAGGGCACTAAACAGTAATGTACATTATCCCATGTATAGTTAAAAACTTGGCTTGTTAACACCTCTTTGATGTTGCATCTTCTTGTTATGTATTCTTTTGATGCAGAAGGTGCATAGGTTGGGAATTAAAAACTCTAACCTTCTTAATAATAATGAATTCTTATTCATTATTATTAATGAATAATTAATGAATAATAATGAACTATACTGCAGAACATCCAAAATAGTGATACTTGGAATACACAAGGTAACACTTGAGATAGTGATGCTTGGGGTAACACTTGAGATAGCAATGCTTGGGTAACACTTGAGATAGCAATGCTTGAGGTAACACTTGAGATAGTGATGCTTGGGTAACACTTGAGATAGTGATGCTTGGGGTAACTCAAGGTAACGCTTGAGATAGTGATGCTTGGGGTAACACTTGAGATAGTGATGCTTGGGTAACACTTGAGATAGTGATGCTTGGGTAACACTTGAGATAGTGATGCTTGGGGTAACACTTGAGATAGCAATGCTTGGGTAACACTTGAGATAGCAATGCTTGAGGTAACACTTGAGATAGTGATGCTTGGGGTAACTCAAGGTAACACTTGAGATAGTGATGCTTGGGGTAACACTTGAGATAGTGATGCTTGGGGTAACACTTGAGATAGTGATGCTTGGGGTAACACTTGAGATAGTGATGCTTGGGGTAACACTTGAGATAGTGATGCTTGGGGTAACACTTGAGATAGTGATGCTTGGGGGTAACACTTGAGATAGTGATGCTTGGGGTAACACAAGGTAACACTTGAGATAGTGCTTGAAATATCCATTTAGCCCTTGGATTAAACTGAAGTAACCAATCCAAACAATATTTAAATTAAAGCAGGTATTATGGTATATACTGTATGTCAAATATTGGTACCTTATAGAGACTGCATATTGAATCATGTTTTGTTGATACCATTATGCTGCAATTTGGCTTTGGGAAGATTACATAAACAAATTTTTAACAATTTAATATTATATATTAAGACATTTATTTTTACTCTACTAAACAATTTTTTTTTTAAATAAATATATACAATATATATATATATATATATATATATATATATATATATATATATATATATATATATATATATATATATATATATATATATATATATATATATATATATATATATATATAGATATATATATATATATATATCTATCTCTGGCTTCTGTAAATCCTAAACATATGATGACGACATGGGAGAACACTTGTCGAGTTACCAAGTGTGTCCAAAAGAATGTACTATTGTTGTGTGTAGAGTACAGCTCTGTTTTCTCCAGAAAAAATCTAAAATGTTTATCGTGCTGCTTTTTCTGAACATTTATCTCTTAGTACAGTATCGTGAGACATGACTGCTTCATATGTAGTAAAAAGAAGCTCATACATTTCAAGACCAACATGTGCAGTCTCTATAGGCAAATCTGTATTTGGAAAGTCACTTATTGAAAACACTAGAGTAAGCAATTAAAATAGTTTGAGGCAAATCTTAAATTCCCACACCCAAGTACTTTGCTGCCTTTTTTTATACTTAATACAACAAAGAACACTGTCTGTTTGCCATTTTAAATTTGTTAAATAATGTACACAAATAAACAAGTTTGTTTTTTTTAGTTCTGCAATTTTTTTTATATAGTGTGGAAAAAACAGATTTAAAAGAAATGTCATTAACTGTTATCAGTGGTGGTTTCTTTTAAAATGCTTTCTCGTACTTGAACATAAAACACACATGCAGTTTTAATCACTTTGTATTAGAAAGTCCAATTATGGTATAAGGTTAAAATAGGCTGAAATAGAATGAACAAGTTTGTGTATGAAAATCTCACTCGTCTCACTGTCTCAACCGAGACTAAAGCATAAGTGCTATATGTGTGTGTGTGTGCGTGTGTGTGTGTGTCAGTGAGTTGTGGAATTTGAAGGGAATGTGCACTGAAAATTAAAGGACCATAGGTATCACATGTAATTTACTGAATTATATATATTTAGATTGATCTTATAAAAAATATTAACACTGTAAATGCTTCCTCAAGAGATAGAGCTAAAGAAAATGTGTATAAATTAAGAGAAACTATCTGATTTTAAAGGAACAAAAATGTGCCTTTTTGATTATAAGAATTATCTAATTATGCCTTTAAATAAAAATAAAAGGAGGTGCATTATTGTAATATGTTAATTTATTAGTTTATTGGTACACACAAAACAAACACAGACTCTTGAGAAAGCTAAAGATAATTTGTTCATCGCTCAATAGATGCTAGTCGTCAGTTATGTTTATTCATTCTTTTAAACTTTGTGATTCTGAGAGGAAAGGTTTTAATTACGTATATGCAGACTTGTCTTTCCATTATGCGGGTGTGGCATGAAATTTAGATTAAAATGTTTATTTTTTGTCATTGCTTCATTTCCCCAGAAAATAAAAATTTGGCTCAAATGATGTTGGTATTCTCATGCAGGTGTATTTGAATGGCTTGTCTTGATAAAGCTGTCAACAATAACTTCAATAAACAGTTTCCTAAATTTAATGTTTAGTATTTACTTTTTAAGAATTGTAGACACAGTACCAATTTTGTAAAAAGATATAAAAAAAAATATTATTTTTTACAGTAATATTAGATTCCAACAACAGTTACAGTACCCATATACAGTACAGTTTTCTGAAGGATACTACCTGTAGTTGGAACAGTGGGACCCTTTGCCTTAATATATATAAAAAATACATAAATATATAAATTTTTTTATTATTATTATTATTGCATGTCTTCGAATTGATGTCAAATTCTATTAAAAATGAGGATTTAAAATAATTTTGTATTATGTATTGACAGATCCATTAAAGTCAACACTTAAGCAAATTCAAATGTCAATAGTAATATTTCTAGTATTTTCTTTGAATTTGCAGCAAAGCAAAACAAAGTGTAACTGGACATGCTGAACCTTGCTTACTAAGCCTACTAGGATGGTTCCAACAAGTAACAATCATATTTGGGAAATTGCTTATTATAGTTAAAATGCTATATAATCATGTAGAGGATGGTGACATCTACGTACTACAGGATGGAGATGGTGACACAAACCACATTTCAGGTATAACTACCACCTCGTGCAGTGGATGGTAATACTCACTATATACCCGGCAGTATGGTGATCCCCTATCTCGTGCATGGGATAGTAATGCCCTCACATGCAGGAGTTTGTGATTGCTACCACATCCAGGGAATGTGGTGGGCATTCCCATCATATAGAAGATGGTGACTCCTACCACATGGAGAGGATGGTGACTTCTACCACATGTAGGGGATGGTGACTCCTACCACATATCAGAGGATGGTGACACACATTTTCACAGACTGATAATCTTTGCCAGGTAAAACTATACAACTACAGCACCTTATGAACCAAATGTTTTATTTAAGTTTTGTGAATCAGACTGCCTCTATATATTATATATGTATATATTGTATATCAAACTGTAAAGATGTAGTAACATAAATTGTTGTTGTTTTTGTGTATACTGTAGTTAATTTTGCATGTGGTAGTACTTAACAAAAATTAATTTAATTGTTTCTAATTAAGTACCTTGTTAAACGTAGTAATCCAAGGAAACCTTATGGAAGCTGCAGTGCAGGACAGAATGGGACAGAGTAGAACATTATTAGAACTTACACTGATCCGGTCACTGTCTGTGATTACCTCCAGTGACCCAGTCTTCATTTGATTTGTTAGCAATATTTTTAGATAAATTCACTGTGCTGTAGTTGTGCCATAGTTGCACCATTTAAGGGTTAAAAAAGTTGAGGCTTGTTAAAGTAGACATACATTTTTACTTGAGATACAAAGCAGTAATATCACTTTACACTTACTGTAAGTCTGTTTGTTTATTTTAATAATTTATTTAATATTTTGGCCCATTTTGTCTTTCATTGATGCTTTCTAATATGCAGTGATACAAACACTGGGGAGGAAAATCATGGGTATATGCATTGTTAATATATGGGGTTCCTGAGACTATTTTTATAATGAATTGATGTAATTACACTATTCATATATATATCTACAATTTTATCTTTTTTTGTAAACATAAATTTGGCTGTCTGTTACTTTGTATTCAAGGGAAAATTAATGTAAATATTTGTTTCAGCTAAATGTAATGTAAGAAGCCAATATCTTATACACTGATAAAATATTATTATAACAGAGTATGCAGTTTTAATGATACTTCATGAAGACTGCATACAAAAGATTGCAACAAAAAATGAAAGGTCTGAAAGGTGGGAGAGAATTGGGAGAAAAGGCAAAGGCATATAAATGAATGTTAAACTATTGTTTAGACAAAGCACTGTCAGGTGTGACAGGTCTAAGTGATACAAGTGTAGCAGATCAAGAGGGAAATACAGTAAAGCATAACTTAGGGTTAA